CTGAAAGTTGTATATGGTTGGGTCTAGTTATAGTTAGCTTCCTATTGATTGGGTCTAGTTCTAGTTAGCTTTCTAGAACACTGTCTATTTGACCTGTTGGTGTATAGGATTCTGTTTTCCCTTGGTGAGTGTGGAAGAAGAGATCCAAGAGAAACACACTAGTGAAAATTCGATATGAAGGAAATTTTGAAATTGAATTGGATGTACTTACATAAGGTTGCAGCATTGCTAGCACATGAACGATGACATACTAACATTAATCTTGTCCTTGACGTTATTGTGCTTGTTGATCCAACTTAGGTCAGTGCTAAAGGTGGTGGCTGGAAGCAAGAACAGCATATGTTGGCTTGATAATATTTCTTGTACAGTGTGTTATATTGTTATGCTGAAAAAGAAATAAACTACTTATAGTGTATTAAATTTGGTGCTTTTTTGGCAACTGTAGACCACATGTTTGTAGTTTTTTTTTTGGGGGGGGGGGGGGGTGTCATTTATGCTCTGCTGTGTAAATTGGGTCTCATGGATGTTGCGTATGGTTCTGTCAGGTGCTCAATTTAAAGCTTTCGTGGAATATGCACCATCACAACAGGTTCCCAAGTCAAATATCAAGAAGGATGGCCGTGAAGGAACTATTATGAAAGGTCTTAGGCAATCACTTTACCTAATTCTTTGCCCAATTGTATCGTTCTATCATATTACCATTTTCCTAAACTTGGATTTTGTTGTTTTGGAATTACTAGATCCAGAGTACTTGGAGTTTCTTGAGCTTATTTCAAAACCTACTGAGCATCTGCCTAGTGCTGAAATTCAGCTTGAAAGGAAAGAAGCTGAAAGGGCAGGTAGAATATGCCATCATTACTTTCTATTCATAATAGTACTCCCTCCATTCCAAATTATAAGACATTTTGGCTTTGCTAGATACATAGCTTTTGCTATGCACTTAGATATACACTATGTCTAGATACACACTAAAAACAATGTATCTAGAAAAGCCAAAACGTCTTATAATTTGGAATGGAGGAAGTATTGCTATATCGATGTGTCTTTCCAAATATGCCAAGCATAAAATGGGGTTGTCACATTTGGTTATTTTTGTCAGCTGCTGGAAAGGAGGCACCTGTTGTGACACCTCTTATGATGTATGTCCGCCAGCAAAGGGCAGCTAAGAATATGTCTCAGGTACATTTATTCCTTAACCGATATCATAGGGCTATTCTTTATCAACTGTTAACTTGCTACTGTTTTCTTAAATTGCAGAGACCTGGAAGTAGACTTAGCAGAAAAGTTGCAGGTGTCGTAACTAGCAGTTCCAGTCCTAAAAGGTCTTCTGAGAAGCGCAGATCCTCCACGGTAGCATGCTTTATTTGGAACTTTCTGATTTTTTCTGATAAAACTTTCTATTCTCAGTTTATAATTTCTTTGACATAACGGGTGTACCTTCACATGGGTGCCTATGTTGGCAATATTCCTTTGTTCAGTAAGATTCGTTCCGTATGGTACTAACTCATCATTATGTTTTTCCTCATTCATCAGATGGTCCCTGATGTACTATGCTTACGGTTTACTGTATTTATGAAAAATAGCACAATTGCTCTTATTTCTATATTTCTGGTGTCTGTGCATAATGTGCTCCTTATATAATTATATACTTTAAATGAACTCACTAAAATTGTTTCCTTTTAGGTGATAGTTGCATAGTTATTTTAATTCAACTCCTATAGTCCTATGCATGTATGTTTCCATGATATTCAATTGAGGCACCACCAAACCTTTAGTTAATTTGAAATTTGAACTATTTGTGTTGTTATTCTGTAACAAGACCTACTGATCTGCTAGAAGCTTAAAGTTCCATAGTTTGTTGTGCTGATAATGACTAGCTGTTGAGACTAAACAACAAATGCTACCCTCCTTTTGTTCTGTGAAATAAATTGTGACCTGAGGTTCATAATCTTTCTGCCTTTTTCTTTTTTCTCGAGCAGTATGTTGTACGAGACAGTACTAAGGAGAAACCAACCTATATCATGGTGCCAAAGAGAGAGGAGCATACACAGAGGGAAAAAACTGCTGCTGGAAATTCAGGTGGTATGCTTGTACCAAATCAAGAAATTGCTAATTGTAATACTTTTGCTTTTTTAACTATCTCTCCCAGTATGTCTAATGTTACCAGGTATTGTTGAGGATTTTTTTTGCTAGTACCTAACATTGCCTATAGTGCTGCTAAATGTTGTATCTAGTGATGTATGGGCTATTGCACGCTGTCTGTTGAGGGTGGATAATGAGCCAACTGCAGTTTTTTTAGCTTTCTTCAATATTGTCATAATCTTATTTACCATGAGCTCCTGAATTATTGGAGACCCAACTTCAGACCGAGCTTAACAAGCTGAGCCAAAGTCGAACGTCACTCAAAATCAACACAATTTTATTTTATTTTTAATAAAAGAAAAATGAGTTCAATCGGAGCATTTTTTACACGAGCAACCGAGCCAGCTCAACGAGTTTTTTGTCCAGCCTGACTGTCTGTGATCCCTTGTATTGCAATTTCACCCAAGGCACGATATATGGGAATGGTACCTCAAATTCCGAGTTTAGCAGCACCGATTAAGGGCATTATTGATGTTGCTTTGCGTTGCTGCATGGTGAAATTGTCTATATATGTGAGCCTTTACCATTTGGAGGAAAAAATGCTTCAGAAGTTAACATATTTCTTAAATTAGCAGAAATTGGTAGTGTTTGTTAAGAGCCAGTGCAACCGCTAAAATCATCCTTTAACATGCCACATGGAGGATTTTTGCTTTTTGATTGGGTTGCTGGCGTGTTGCAGTATACTATGTAAAGAGGTTACACTTTTGGTACTACCGATTCAGTCCAATTATGGGAATGATAACTGCCTTTTGTATTAGGTGACATCATTTACGTTTCCTAATGTTATGCTATTTCTCTAATTCTAGATAAGGATGTGTTCTCTTTTCATACAATTTATTTTTCCTGAACATGGTCTGTTTCTTTTCGAGAAAGGGAAGCTAATTTGCTCTTGTCTCTGTCATGTTTATGGCTGCTCGTCCAATTTTTCAGCTTATTACACGTTCTCTGAGTGGTGCGTTTTTCTATGTTATGATAATCTTCTTTTTGTTTTGTAGATGCCACAAATGGGGGAACATCTGGATCTGGTCAGGCTGCTGAGGCTAAAAGGGACAAAATTGTCATTTTGAAAGGAAGAGGAAGGGTTGATTCTAACGTAAGTTGATATTTTTTGCAGTTTTATTATTATGGACCTATGTTTGATCAATTTTTGCCACAGACACCTGATGGAGCAACTCAGCAGTCATCAACCCCTGTGAAGAATGTACCACCATCGAGTTCTAGATTAGACCAGCGACCTGAAGCCAGTGGAAGAATTATTAAAACTATACTTTCAAACAAGGAAGTCCGCAGTTCAAATCCATCTCAACATGAGCAGGAAGGTCACATGTTTAATACTGAGAAGGATAAGCGGCTACCACGGGCTCTCAACCCTCGTACCATTGTGAAAGATCAGGTAGTTGAAAATGCTGAGAGAAGCCATTTTGATGAGAAGACTAGTCATCTCCACGGATCTGCTCCAATTGGTGAGAAGGTTGAAAGGCATGCCAGAAACAGAGATAGACCCGATCGTGGTGTATGGGCACCTCGCCGCTATGACAAATCTACATCTGGGGGTGGTTCACATGCCTCGTCGTCAGATTTCCCTCAAATGCAGTCACATTCTGGAGATAATGTCTCGCAACTAGCAGATGGTATGTAATTTGCTGAAATGATTTCCCCGTTCGCGATGCCTGGAGTCTCTTAACTTGAACTTAATGCAGGTCATGGAGACAGAAAGACAGACACAAGGGGTCATGGTGGCAGCCGTGGTGTTCCTGTTGAAAATGGTTTGTATGCAAAAATAAAATGTGTACCTTTTCTAGATCAGTTACATGACGCAGTTTTTAATCCAGGACATAGGCATGCCAACCGTCGTGGTCCCCCACGTGCTCCAAAGGAAACCGAAATATCTGCTAGCGTGCCTGATGGAAAGAATTCAAAGAGGGGCTCTGCTAGCTATGGTGCTCATGAGGTGCGATTATTTTGTAATTTCTTATTTTCCTACCAGTTGGTCAAGGGCGTACTCAGACCACCCAAGTTCAATTCTTCATTGAGGAGCATCTAGGTTCATATTTATTAATTAAAAAGCCACTTAGTTCATCCTAGGTTGGTCGTGTATAATTTTATTTCTTGTACCATCGCTGATTTCAGGGATCTTTGATTTATGTTCAAAATTTTTCATCCAAATTTAATACCATGAATGCCATGTGCAGAGACAAGTATGGGTTCAGAAGTCAAGTTCAGGCTCGTGAGTTTGTTCATTGATTGACGGTATGCTGTGCTACTCTAGTTTATTCATTGTCGTCAAGCCTTCTTTGGATAGCTATAACACTACAATGATCCTTGCCAGCGCCATCAGTTGTACATTCTGCTGCTTATATTTTTTTGTGGAACATTGCTGGTGGAATAGTCAAATCCATCCCTGAAGTCCCTTCTCAAAGGTCCATTTGCTGCCAGTTTCATTGTTGGCTCAATATAGTCCCCAGGCTAACATGGAATGGCACATGTGTGCACCCATTAGCATGATGTTAGGATGGTCTCTGCATACATGCTACCACATAGTAAAATGATTCCTGTTAGATCATATGACTTACAAAGTTGCTCTTGTTCCATGCATTCTACCAGTTTGAATCTAATATTTACTTTCCACTTTATCCTCTGATATGTGGTAACTAGGTGACATTATTTGTACAGATTTTGTTCTTGTTAGATGACACAACTCGCTAAATTGCTCTTGCTCCTGGCAGCATACCAGATTACCAGTTTAAATCTATTCTTTTAGACTGCATTATTCCCTGATTTGGGGCTAATGAGAGATTTCACACATATTGACACCTAGGCCACTCACTGCTGACTAGGTGCACACTTGGTGCTCCACATTAGCTAGGTGACCTGATTGAGCCAAAGACAACTTTGCGGGACTTGGCTGAACCATTTAGAACCTTAGGGCTACTTTGGAAGCTGAGATCCCCGCCGGGTTCCCGGCGATTTCCCAGGGTGAGAAACCGCGGGGCGATCTCTCCCGCGCCAATTTTGCGCGACGTTTGGAAGCTCGCGAGACACGGGATCTCAGCCCCCTTCCCTGCGTTTTCCACGGGGGAGAAATCCACGAGACAATAGGCCAGGAGCGCTTCCCCGCCACCTGTTCCCACGAGCCGCGACTCCGCCTCCAACGGGCGCACCGTTTGGACACGGCAGTTGACGCGCAGCTTCGCCAGCACGCGCTTCTGCAGCTCGCTGCCCTGTGCGGCTGTGCTCCACCACACCTGCCCAGCCACAGCTTGCTCGCCCACTGCTGCTCGATCCATCGCCGGCCGCCCCGCTGGTAGTGAACGAGGGAGAGAAGCGCCGCCGGATTAGGCTCGCCCACCACTGACGCACATGGGCACGACATCCGCTCGAGACGGCCTTGCTGCCATCCAACGCCTCCACCTCCCTGCCGCCGCCGGCCCGGGCACCCTTATTGGCACCCACGTGCTCGGCAGATGGTCTCCATCGCCGCATCCCCGACCGTAGTGGCAGTCCCCGCCCCTGGCAGGGCAATACTGGCCTGGTTGGCCACTGCCTTGCATCACTGACCATCTTGCTCTACTTTGCATCTGTCAGATTGCCTGTTCAGGAGTAAGAAGAGAGGCGGCAGACATCTAAATTATTTCTTCTCGAATTTTTAATTTTTGAGACCATTTTTGTGCTCTGCATTGGTGATATTGCCTATTCAAAAGCAAGAAGAGAGGCGGCAGTTTTTCTGATTTTTTAGATCATCTTTGATACATGTGATTTCTGCCTTCTTCCCAAACAACGACAGGGAATTGAAACCCTGGTGGGTAGGTCTGCCCAGGGAAATGCATTGCCATCAAAATCCGTCCCAGGTGCTTTCCTTCCCTGGGTTAGGTTCCCTTCACTTCCAAAGTAGCCCTTAGGGAAGAAAGTGAACCTGTGGTGAAACTTCATGGAAGAATTTACCCATTCTTTCAACATTGTTAATGAATGTGTTATTTCCATGAGTGGTCTTGAAATATCTGGAATCTGTACACCATTTTCCCGCTAACTCTCGCTAACTCTTTTGCAGATACTCCCATCAAAACAGGTATTGCAAGCGTGGAGAAGTCTTGGATTCTGCAGCGCATTCTTCTTTGTTTGCTGTTGATCTGTGAAGTATGTTAACAAAATGTCCAACGGTCAAATGCTGCCATGACGTGCAATCTCAGATTTGTCAATCGAAGTCTCAGCTATAGCTGAAAAGAGAGCTTGCTGATTTGATTCACAGAAATAGTGAAGTAACATAACCCGGCATGTAGGTAGCTCTCGACAACTTTGGGTAACATTTGATTTGGGCCCAAGGTTGATATTTCTGGAGCAATGGATGGAGATTAGGTTGGCATCAGTACCTCACTACCTCGTGACAGTGGTCACATATTTCGAAGACCCCTGGAGGCTACACACACCCTCAGCAATTCGTCAGAGATGGATGTAAATATCTCTAGAGAAAGAAGAGGTCTGGTTCTGATTGCTGTTTACAGGTTAGAGGTGCAGCGTATTTACAAAGAGATATAAGAGTTATCACTTATCAGACTACCTGGTTTGCTAAATAAATGTGAATTTAGTTACTAGATTATGAGACCCCGTGTTTTGACTGCCGCAATCGTGGGTTCGCGGCAGTAGAAAGGTTACCTAGAGTGTAAAAGTGACTTCCCATTTTGGTGGTTCTGACTAAATGGGATGTGACGTGTGGAGTTGTTTTGGCGCCTGGTGTGTGCTTTGCTGTCATGTTCCACCAGATGACCCGGGGGTTCTGTCGTGTTAGGGATGAAATGCTGTACAGCATCAAAGGTGCTTACTGTTTCAAATCTTAAAAGTGGTGATGTTGCCTGGCTTTAATGGTTGATGGTGTCTGGTCTTTTGTGCACTCCGTCATTTAAAGTTAAAATATGGATCTGTCTACGGAGTGTTTTAAAATATGGATTTGTCTACGGAGGCGTCGAGCAGCGTGCGGTCCCAATGATTCGTGGGGTGAGACACCTTGGCTTGAGGTCATCGACGATGGCCTCCGTATCGGGACGCTTAGCGCCTCTCGGTTGGCTGGTTCGTATCGTTGTTGGTTCGTGAAGAAGTACTGCTGGTTGATTTGTGTGAGAGAAAAATATTGATCTGACTGAAAATTTACGATCGTTTATGATAAGCCACAGCCAAACGAACAGGCTTTAGGTACCCAAGTTGGTGATGGTGGCTTCCAGCACAGTGACGCGATCGTCACGCTCTGTGTTGATGTGTTCCACGCGGAGCGATTTGAGATCCGTCAGGCGCTTCTTGATGGTGGTGGTGAGGCGAAATCGATGCGGGAAGACTCAAGTTCGGCGATGCGATGAGTGTGCCACGGACGAGGCACGTAGACTCGATGTCAGCAAATCGGTGCTCCCACTTGGCGAATGGTCGTCGAAGCGGTGAGCGTCGAGGATGAGCTTCAAATTGGGATCCATCGCGCCACGTGCTGCTTGGAATTGTCGAAGCGGCGAGCGTCAAGGATGAGCTTCAAATTGAGATCCATCGCTACGTGTCGCTTGGAATCCTGAATTGAAAAGAGAAACTGATACCAATTGTGAGGAGAGCAAGCTTGAGGAGGAAGAACAAAGAGAGAGACACAAGGACGACACTCGCGCAAGTTCGAATCTGAATTTTTTTAGTTTAGATTTTACATGTCTTCTCTATTTTCCTCAGTACAATATATATAAAGTAAAGAGTTATGGCAGCCACACGGGCAATCCTGCTGATGTGGTGTGTTAGTGTGGTATGCACATATTTAATTTTGACCTTCACTTTTATTTTTCCCTATGAAAATAGGCCCTTCCTTCTCATTTCCAGTGTCGGCCCTAGGGGTCAGGGCACGAGGTGCGACGGCCGAGGGCCCAAGCGGAGGAGGGTCCAAGCCCAGGTATACAAACCCCAAGATCCTATAGTCCATTAGGCATTAGCAAACTAATGAGAAGATAGACATAGAACTGGTCAGACGACTCAAAAAGACAACATCGATATTTTTTTCTAGTTTTCTTTTCCCACGGCCCTCGGGTAGAGAGGAGGTGAGGAGTCACGATGCACACAACACACTTTGATCGTGAGTTCGCGATGTGCGCCTTACACACACGGAGCTGGCGAGCCGCGCCGCGGCGAAGAGCTAGACTACCGGAGACACGGACACGGCGCACAAGGACGGCGACCAGGCAGGGCTCCACGACAACGACATCTTGATTCTTGGCTTCTTACGAATTACGATCACCGATAAGTTGTTTAGGCTAAGGTATTTTTTCCTTTTATTTTTAATCTAAATTAATTATTTGTATAATATTTCAGACTTCTAGTACTTTGTACCCATATAGTCATATTTTTCTTCTAATTTAGGTGTTAGAATTTTGGAATGTTACCTAAGAAACATTTGTCATGGGTGAGAAAAGAAAACGAATATATTGTTTTTTTAATCTACATGGTTCCTCGATAATTATTATACATCTACAAATATATTGCTTAATCTACATTGTTCCTCAATAATTATCAGACATATTAAATTAAAAATATGTTATTGAATTTGCTTTCGTTTTACAAGTAAAATTAGTACATATATATTATAAGATTTTATATATGGTCAAGAGAGGCCGTTGCGACAAGATCGGCAGAGGATCCTTAAGATCCTAGGACCGACACTGCTCATTCCTCTCTTTCCTGCCGCTCCTTTCCCTGCTGCTACAGAAGGTCACCTCTAGAGTTGCACCACCACCACCACCTGTATATTTTTTCAAGGGAAAGAATTGAATGATTAAATGTAAAAATACATTGTCACGCTAGCATGCCACATCAGTAAGAGATGCCCACATAATTAGTATGAATCTGTGGTGCACCACTTAATCATTTTAGAGACCTAGAAATATATTTTCAAAATTATGGTAGACCTATGTGACACACCTTGCAAATTTGATTACCGCTAGTGCATTTAAAACTCTAGATTTTTCTTACTAGAATATAACTCTAAAGTAAAAGATAATCAGTCGATCCACTGTGGGCCTGTAATGCGGCTATTGGGACGTCTGGCTCTCCTGGGCCTGGGCGCAGACGATGCCTCAGCTTCTGACGCGCCATCATCCTTCGCAGCAGCAGACGAAGCAGGGGAGGCTGGTCGCTGACGGAGCCCGCCCCCGAGCCCCGACGCCGCCACCTGCGCCCCGCTGACGAGCTCCAGCGCCCGCCCCCGAGCCCCGACGCCGCCATCCGCGCCCCTGCCCCCGAACTCCGGTGCCCGCCCTTCGACCCGTTTGGTAGGCGGAGACGCGCGAAGTTGCGCGTGAAGCGGTTCCAGAATCGCTACCAAACGGGGCCTAACCCGCCCCGGTTTGCCTAGGGTTTGTCCCGTCTCGGAACCGATCAGATCGGCAGGTCGCCGCCGCGATGCAGAGGTACGGACTGCAGATCCGCACGAAGCCGCCATCGTCCTCGTCGTCACGCGCGCCGCCGCCTCCGGCGCGGCCCCTGGCGGCGTTCGCCGACGATGACGACGACGACGTGGAGAAAGAAATCCTCCGCCAGGCGGCCAAGAAGCGCGCCCTCCAGAAGGTAACCTGCTCCACCCACCGGCTCGCGCGTACGCTTCTCCACCGATTTCATGCCAACACATTAGATTTTTTTTTCTGTCTTCCCCCTTTGTCCGGATGGTGTTGTTGCGCGCTCACAGGTAGAGGAGCAACATAAGAAGGCCTTGGAGGAGGATCCCTCGGTGTACGCCTACGACGAGCTGTATGACGAAATGAAAGAGAAGGAAGCCCGCCCTAAGATGCAAGATAAGGTCGTCCGCGAGGTAATTCCTCCATCCTGCCTTTGAGAGTTGTTTATTTGCTTCGTTTATGCTCACTGCGTCACTGCGATATGTGACAGAGTATAGTTACTAGTTAGTTACGAGTGCATTTTAATGAAGAAGACTAGTTGCTAGCTTAGGCCTTGTTTAATTCGACGGTGTAAAGTTTTGGTCACATCGGTTGTCACGTGGGGGTGTCGCATGGGTGTTCGGATACTAATAAAAAAACAAATTAAAGAATCCGTAATCCGCGAGACGAATTTATTAAGCCTAATTAATCCGTCATTAGCACATGTGTACTGTAGCACCACATTGTCAAATCATGGACTAATTAGGCTTAAAAGATTCATCTCGCAAATTAGTCGCAAACTATGCAATTAGTTATTTTTTTAGTTTATATTTAATACTCCATGCATGTGTCCAGACATTCGATGGGATAAGGAGTAAACTTTAGGGGGAGGAACTAAACAATGC